AGTGGCGGCCCCGAGCCCGCAGCTCAGCGGCTGGGGTCCGGCTCCCAGCGGGGCAGCTTCAACAGCGAGGACATCTGCGGTTACATCGACCGAAGCTTCGCCTTCTGGAAGGAGAAAGAAGCCGAGATGTTCAGCTTCGGAGACTGAGAGGGCTGGCAGCCCCTTCCGGAGGGGCCCTGGGGGTGGTTTCGGTTCTCTCTCCTCTTGTCCTTTTTCATCCACCTGGTGGCCAGGTGAGCCCCGGCCAGGCAGGCAGACACTCAGCATGCTAGCGCCCTCCAGGCCTGCCCTTGAATCCTTCCTCCTCGGCTCTGGGCTCAGCCTCAGAATCCTTCTCACCACCAACCCCAAGAGGCCTCTTTGCTCTCCTTCGGCCCCGAAGTTGACCAACTCCTGCCCCAGCCCCAGGTCCCTCTGCCCGACTGTCCCCTGCGCACCTGGGATGCCAGGCCATGTTTTCCATGGGTCCTCCTCCCAGTGCCTGCGTGTCCTGCCCCTCAGTTTCTCTGGGGCTGGTGGCCCTTCAGGGTCCGGCCTCGGTTTCTCCTGCTGAGCTCAGGCTGCCCCTCCATGTCCCCTGGCCTCTCTTTCCCCATCTGGGAAATGGGAGAGGAGCTGGGGGGTGGAGGGCGGAGAGAACAGGAGTCAATGGCAGAGGCCTTCCTGTCAGAACTGCCCCCAGAATTCCCCGGGTCAGGGAGGTGCTCACACGGGTGCATACTGGTCACCCGCAGCCACCCGCTGACACACGCGTACCCACCCTGGGAGTTCCAGGGGACCTGGTTCCCTGTGGGGCTCCTGTCCTCAGTTTGACAGCCCCGCCCATGCCACGTGGCCCAGGCAGCAGGGACGGCTGTGAGACAGGCAGTGGCTGAAAAGGGCTCTGAGCAGAGAGGGGCACTGCCCCGCCCTCAAAGGTGGGCTGCCAGATCCAGAGAACTTGTGGGGGGTGGGGGCACACTAGCCCGGCCGCGATGAGGTTCAGCCTCTCCTGTGGCCGCCCAGGTGCCACCCACACCCTTCTCCGTGAGAAGCTGAGAAAGGGGGTGGGCGCCCCCAGGGAGCCTCCGGTGAACAGAGCATCTCGTGAACAGGTGGTGCGGACGGAGCCCCGAATGGTTTGTCCGGGCCCCAGGGCAGCAGGATGATGGGCCCCAGGCTGTGGGGTTTGCCCAGGGGACTTGGGGAGGGTTTCCTGCAGCTGTTCCACGGCCCCGATAGGCAGTGTGTGGGGAGGGGCCTCAGGACTTCCTCTGGCTGCCACCTCCCTGCAGCCAGGCCCCTGACCGACAAGCACAGTAGACGAGTCGTGGGATGGAACAGCCCTCCCAGCCAGCCCACTCGGGGTCCCACAGGGAGAGACACCTGGGAGATGTAGTCGGAGTGTTGGGCGGCCAAGGCTGCCAGGCCCGAAAGGAGGACACAGATTTGCTAAATAAAGACTCCCATTCCTGGCTGGTCTGCACGCTGTGCTTGCTGCCCCGAGGAGAGCTGCCTGTGCCCAGAGCGGGTCCCAGCTCTGGGTGGGCACCAAGACCCGAGTCCTCATCTCGGCGTCACCATCCTTACCCTGCAGAGCCTCCGCTTCCTCACCTTCGAACGGGTGCAGCGCTGACCTGCCCTCCCAGGGTCACGGTCAGGGCAGACTGAGGTCCTGTGGGGAGGTGCTCTGTCCTGAGACCACAGTGACACTCGCCCACCTGTGGTCATTATTCAAGGAGCAGGTCCCAATGAGCAGAGCACCAACCCTGGGCTCCCACAAACACCTCCACGCTGCTTCCCAGCTCTTGGCCCCAAAGCATGTCTGATGGAGCCAGACGGGAGCTGCCTGGGGCTGCGTGAGCCCCAGGGGTGGGGTGGGGACGCCAGGAAACGTGGGCATTTGATGACTCCATCCCTGTGCTACCTGCAGGACCTCATTGTTCTAAGGGCCAGGCAACAGAGGGGCCAGGATGGGGGGCGTGGACAAGGTCTGGCCGCAGAGGTGGTCTTCTGGCTGGGGTACTCAGGAGAGCACTGGGCAGGGCCCAGGACACTTCACTGAGACTCCCCTGCCCACTCGCTGTGGCCTGGGGCAAGTCCCTCCGCCTCTGGACCGAAGTTTCCCAGCAGGGGGTTTGGACCAAGGCCAGCAGGGGGTGCCTCACAGCATCCTGGGTTCTGGGAGGACATGGGGTCGGGGTGGACTGCCAGGAGAGGGGTGAGGTGGAGGCTCACACCCAGGTCTGCGGCCTGGAAGGAGGGAGAAAGCACCTCAGTAGACACCCTGCTTCCTGGGGGGTTTATATGAACGTGTTGTTCTGGGGCAGCCCACCCATTCTGAGCTCCTCGGCCTCGGCTGGTGCTGGGAGAGCTGGTGCTTTTCACGACGGTCCAGGTGATTCTGATGCTCAGCAGCCTGAGCCCCGGCCCACTAGCAGCTCTTGTGTGGGGAGCAGGGTCCCCTGCAGTAGACACTGGCCCGGTAAGGCCCGTCTGAGGACCTCAGAGCCCCTGCTCACACAGCAGACTTCAGTGAGGTGACCAGACCCAGAACAAGGTGAACCCCAGGGCTTCCCGGTGAGTTAGGGAGCCCTGTGCTCTCGCTGGCCGTAAGCGTGTGCAGGGCGCACAGAAGAAAACCGCTGCCAGAGGCAGTGAGAGGATATCCCTCCTCGTGGCCGGAATGCACCCGGCACCTGTGCGCACTGATGCGCAGGTTCAACACAAGCCCACCTTTCCCCAAGAAGGCCCCAGCTGCCCTGGCCGGGTGCGCAGTGGTTAGAGTGTCGTCCTAATACACCAAGGTGGTAGATTTGGTCCCTGGTCAGGGCACACAGAAGAATCAACCAAGGGTCCGGCTAGCTTGGCTTGGTGGTTGAGCGTCGACCTATGAGCAGTTCGATTCCTGGTCAGGGCAGAAGTGACCTTCCAAGTCTTGATATCAAGTAGGTCTCAAGACTCCCACCTTCGCTGCTCCCGTCTCCAGGGAAACCGCTGCCGTGTTGGGAGCAGCCCTGTGCAGAGGCCCGTGTGTGAGGAACGGAGGCCACCGGCCCAGTCCAGCCTTCGGTGCCTGCTTGGTGCCAGCTAAGAGATCCTGAAGGAGGACCACCCAGAAACTGAGAGATCATTCATGTTTGTTGTTTTAAGACACTAGCCCAGCCGTGGGCAAACTACGGCCCGCGGGCCGGATCCGGCCCGTTTGAAATGAATAAAACTAAAAAAAAAAAGACCGTACCCTTTTATGTAATGATGTTTACTTTGAATTTATATTAGTTCACACAAACACTCCATCCATGCTTTTGTTCCGGCCCTCCGGTCCAGTTTAAGAACCCATTGTGGCCCTCGAGTCAAAAAGTTTGCCCACCCCTGCACTAGACTGTGGGGTCATTTGTTATGCCGCAGCAGCAAACACATACAACAGACAAGGAAATTTCAGAAGGGAAGAGATCGTAATTATGGAGCAATCGTCCATCCAACCAGCTGGTTCTGACCCCAGAAAACAGTCCCTCGGATCCACAGGCCAGAGTAGAGGAAGGTGAGACACCTCCCCCAGAAAGCTCTGCCCCGAGATACACATGGTGCAGCACGTCCTCGGGAAAGAAGGGAGTGTCCGTAATAGTCCCGAGGACGTTGTCAACTAATTGGGGGGGAGGATGACCTATGGCCCCGTGCCCCAAATAAATCCCAGACCGAATAAGATACCCTGAGCAAATAAGGCCATAAGACGCCGGCAGAGGGGGTGGGAGGGCCTGGTTGCGCCAGGAGAGCCTCGCGGCATGCAGGCGCCAGGCAAGCACAGGGACAGTGATACCTCCCGCGAGACAGTGCGTCACTCGCCCGCGCGGGACGACCCTGGGCGCAAGGTGAGCACACGTAACTTGGTGGTCTCGCTCTCCGAATCTACCCCGGGAAGTAAGCGGAGGCGGCACTATGCACCCAATCGAGTCTGTTCAGAGAGGTGACTGGACAACACCTCCAACTTCCTAAGGTGTGGTGGGTCCCTATGAGGACGAGAGTTAAAATCAGGCTTTCCAAAGGCCGCTCCCGTCAGCAGTGCTTGCGATGTGAGTGACCACGCCGGACGCAAGCACCTGCCCGCAGGCGTTCTAACGACAGTGGAAGGCGGAGAGGGAAGGGGCCGCTGTGTTAACGGGGCTTGTCTTACTGGCTGCATTTTCTGCTTTATATTTTTCTGTGTTTTCCAAATTCTCCATAATAAGCTCGTGTCGTTTTTGTCATGAAAAGAAACCAGCAGCGTATTTTTAAAAACGGCACCACCGAGTGGTGATCTGTTGATGAGGATCTGGTTTGAGCCCTGGTATCGAGTTTCCCAAACTGACCTGTCATTCAAGGGGCTGGGCCTCCATGTCCCGGGAAGGTCTCCATTCAGTGCCCAAGCTGGGCGGCTCTGGTGACAGCAGCCTCTCATCAGAACCCTGTCCTCGCTTCCTCCAGCGTTAGCCCTGGTGTTCTGCCTGCGAACAGGGAGGTGAGGGGTGGTGCAGGCACACACTGAGTCCTCTGTTCCCGCTCCACCACCCGCCCCTTCCACGCTAATGCCCAAGGCTGGGGGGAGTCCTGAAACTGTCCAGGGCTAGGGCTGGGCTGAGCTGTGTGGGGCTGGACTGGGCTGGGCTGAGGAGGGCAGCATAGACCCAGGAAACCTGTGAGTGAGCGAGTGTGGAAGCGCCTAGGGAACGTGTGATTGGCTAATCACTCATTGCAGTCGTTGTGGAGCAGCTGTGCCCCCCACTGGACGGCACGCATCCTGAGAGCTCACAACCATCTCCTCAGCAGGTAGCAGGGCCAGCAGCCGTGCCGGTGGGGCAGGAGCCACCTGTCCCGGACCCACGCTCCCCTTGAGAAATTACCTAACATTGCCAGGAGTGAGGGCTGTCCCCCTGCGGGCCACAGGCCCCTCGGCACTATAAGAGCATCAGCCAGCCCAGCTGGCGTGGCTCAGTGGTTGAGTGTTGACCCATAAACCAAGAGGTCGCTTGTTCAATTCCTGGTCAGGGCACAAACCCGGGTTGCGGGCTTGATCCCCAGTGTGGGAGACAGCCAATCGATGTTTCTATCTCTCCCTCTCCTTTCCTCTATCTCTCAAATCAATAAAAACATATTTTTTAAAAAGAGCATTGGCCATTCCCTAGTGGACATTG